TATATATATATATATATATATATATATATACATATATATACATATAGTAATATAAAAACCAAACGTTTCATTATTTGCTCTATCGGTCTGTCACATAGGCTCTACATATTGCATTATACTGGTTTTAGATACGTACAGTTTCAGATACGTTTCAGATACATATTCACTTGTGAACTTGTGTACATACTTACGTGGATAGTGCTGACCGTCTAAGAACTGGCAGAAGGCAGCGTGTAGGTGTGTTGCGGTTCTGTATGGCCTGTTCTTGTATATGGCAGCTGATATGTACGCACCGCGTTCCACACCGTTACCGAACACGCGAATAAACTCTTCGAAATCCATCGCATTCACGTCGGAGATTAATCGCTGTCCGTCCGCCATGTTTATAACGTAATTGCATGCTTGCCAATGATTAAAATAATGCTAAACAATGTTCAGCGCGGTCTGAAGCACACTTTGAACTAGCCTGACCAGGCTCAACGCCTCCCAGGTTCCCGTTTCCCTTGGTTCCCGTAGTTTTACCTTTTACCATCCCGCCATGCGAAGTGAGAAGCGATAAGGTAACTTGTGGCTGGCTAACTTTGCACCTGTGAGGCTACGCGAACCTATGTTATATATGACCTATGTTGACTTACGATATAGTTATTATTTATTGTCGCTGTTCGTATTTGCCACTCACGGCCGTGACCATCTCTTTCGTATCGCTGGAGCACTTGGTATTGGGGACACTTTCGCACCTGTATACACACACACGTTTTACGGTTCAAGAAGCGAAAGTAGTTCATAGATTATCAGCGATATTTCTTTCGGAGAATAAGAAAGTTTTTCCATCGTCGGAATCGATGTAATCGACAGTTTTGTAGAATTTCGGTAGCTGATGTTACCTATGTTCTTAATTGCTGGTTGTTATGCTGGACTATGTTATAGCGGAAAAACTATTGGGAGACGTCGGTGATTGGCGGTATTGTCCGCAGGCAATATTTAGGTAGTGATAGTAGTGGCGCAGACAAACGAATACACAGTAATATCGACAGCTAGCGGAAGGTTAGACATAAGCTATATATATATATATATATGTGTGTGTGTGTGTGTGTGTGTGTGTGTGTGTGTGTGTGTGTGTGTGTGTGTGTGTGTGTGTGTGTGTGTGTGTGTGTGTAGTGTTGTGTGTGTGTGT